AATCGTCGATTATGTCTTATTGCGACACTCAGAAGGTCAAACGTATACAGAAGTCAAGTCAAATGATTTGCTGTGTGCTGAAACAGTAAATACATGTGTTTGGCATGTTCTGTCGCGTAGCTGCACGCGGTATCGTTCCCAGCGCCGGCTTTCCAGTGAGCCGAGCATCGCACTCCAGTTCGTTTTGCATCTCGCTCATCTGGGTGGAGCTGTACCCAGCAACTCGCCGCTTTCCAGAACATTCCTAACTGACTTGAACTGAAACGATGTACCGTTTGGGACCATATTGTGTTCCCGCGGTGCCACATATTCTGAAGAGTTGCCTCGCTATTAGGGTTAAGGTCATCGATGAAACAAATCTGTTTTTACTTGATTTTATAAAGATATTTGTTGTTTTATATACGCCTACAGATTTAGAAATGAATGCACATTGCAACAGTAGAGGAGTCAATGTTTGTTTGTTTACGATTTGTGTTTACGACTGACGATTGTGAGACAGAACACTCGTAATCCAGGACCAGGATTATTTGAAATTCAGGTACAAAACGTACAAAACCCAAAAGATACGTACGTACCCATCTATGGACATGCGATTGCGACTTTCGTTCCTCATTCTCCGATTATCATTCTATAGCATTAGTAAAACCAAGAGACAACAGCAAGGGTCGATAACCCAGCGCAGTATCCGACCGAGAATGTATACTTCTCTGTCACACCAATTTATAGGGAATTTGTGTGTAAAACACGAAAAATGTTACAATGATCCCATTGGCTGGTATCGTGCTTCGTCCATTGAATTAATGACATTTTCCTCTGATTTGATACATACAGTAACGACTTTACAAGCAGTGAAGCGCCTTTTGGCGACTGTTAATGGTAACCAAATATCATATGATATTTTTGGTAGTAATAGTACTATTTTAATATTAAATATTAATAGTAGCTTAATTTTGCAAAAGTTAGCATAATATTTTTATATTAGCTCGGAATATTGAAAAATATTAGATACTACATGATATTTTATGATATTTTCCCACTTAAGTACGTTTCTTGCCAGGTGAACCAAATAACTTTTTCGATCAGGTTCATGAAAAGCAGTAGGCTTTCAGACTGACGAGTATTTGCTCTAGTATTTCTCTGTGACACAGACAAAGGCGATCGAGTTGGAAAACTGCAAACGCTTGCAGCTGTTTAACGTTGGAAGAGCGAAATCAAGACATTTTTTCTTGTTCTCTACCGATCTCCTCGTCGACATCGTGCGTCTAATAAACCTGCTGTCTGTGGCGCTAGATTAATCCGCTCAGCAGTGCCAACACACGACGCCAACCTTGCCGTCACTCTCCCTCTCACAATTGTCCCTCTCATGGTTGATTAGTAATATTTCAGCTAGTCGAGCGTTAACGACATATGGTTAGTTAATGTAGCCCGATTACGCAAGCATTGAAAAATATAATATCGTTAGCTAATATTAAGTTGATATTTAATAATATCATATTGCCTCAGAAGAAAATATTAGGTAATATTTTTTATATTACCTGGTCGACAGGTGATATTTTCACAATATTAACTTCACCGATTTTGGAGTTACCATTAACCCCTGACTGTTACACACGTCGATAGTGATTACGCTGATGGGTACATGTATAGGATCGCTATATCGTAGTGAGCATTTTCTGAAGGTTTTTTAAAGTCTCGCTAATAGCCCTAAAAATAACAGAATTCCTTCCAAATATGAGAGTTGCTATTTACTTGCTGGTCGCTGCTACGAAGCCACAAAAACATAGCGAATAGCACGATGACTCAAGCTTTCGATTGAGGGCACTTAAACTTTAACTAAGCTCATGTTGGTAGTGCTACTTTCAAAAAACTAAAATCCCCATGAATTGGTGGGACGGAGAAGTACTAGCAATCTGATTGGCCATGGAAAATGGCAAGTATAATTGGGAATTTGCCGAAACCAGTATACATTCTCTGTTATTTAACAAAAAAAGGTACATAAGCAGATGGCGCCAAAGCAGACCGAAAGCAAAATTAATACTGCAGCACTCGCAATTAACATTAGTATAACTCGCCTATTTGTAAACGTAAAGGAGTCACTTTTTATCGTAGATCAAATCGCACCGGTCGCGCCAGTGGATGCCGTTCCTACCACGCTGACCGTTTCGCCGACACCACCTTCATCACCATCACTAACCCCAGTATTCCTATTCATTTCCGTGGAAGTACACATTTTACCAGCCTACTTGAGCCTTTCTCTAAGATAAGCGGTCGAATGAGGTAAAAAGAAAAAAATAGGTTTTACGACTAACGTGGTTTTGCGACAATTCTTACCAGCCAAAGTGGATCGCTGGTTACATTGCTCAAGATGGCTTCTCCCACAGCTCACGTTCTTCACGATAGCACAGCCAGCAAGCCCAGTCGTCCTCTGGACCGCAGACAGCACCATCCATATTACGAGAAGCCCAGAACTACGAACGAGGAAATACCAGAAACACCAGCTTTTTTTGTCAGCACTTCATAATCAGTAGGAGCACCAGTGCAAAACATGAAAGATATTCTTTCCATCGACTCCTGTTGCTTTTCTGCCACACACATCGACCTACCGTTTGAGACAGATATTGTAATGTGTTGTGTAGATGACTGTATTATTCTCTGTCCCAAATCATATTCTAAGAGCAAGACCGCCTCAGCAAACTATTCTCGCGTAGCCAGAAGGCCTCAAGGGGACCTCCGCGACCGCAGAGTGCGCATCGACACGATGTAGCGATTGTTGAATACCTAGTCCACGCTCTTCTAGGCTACGATAGTGTGCGGTGTTTTGGTGATAAAAGGTGCATATTATCAACGAGCTGTGCGATCTCACGAATTATGAAAAAATATAAACATAAAAGTTTAGATTCCGCGCGTCGTAGTCAAGATTCCTGTTTACGCTGACCGCTAAGTTGACGGTGGATTTTCATGGAGCGATGCGGTCAGCAGCGAGGCTTCTGCGTTAGTCTTTCAGGAAGTCTCTAACGTTGTGACACGCTTTCGCAAACAAAAACGACTTCCCAAAGCGTCTACCCACTGAAATGACTTACAGTGCGTGAAGGATATGCGTGCCTGAGCTTAGCGCCGTATTGAGAGGCTATGGGAAAAGAAGATACTAGACCATATAAATTTAGTTGTGGACTTTTCGTGTTTTATTATTTTGAAGGCTCTTTGAAGTGATAAAGTATGCAATTTCAACGTCTCTATCTCTTGATGTGGCAGCCCCGTCAAAACAGTCACGAATTCGCTGCATATAGATGTGCTATAATATGTAAATCCAACAGGTAATGTTATCATTGATGTGATGCGTCTGCTGGACTACTTCGTAGGTACGTTGAAGCGGTTT